TTTATGAAGGTCATTTATTTTAGTTCTACGTATGGAGTATACTATATAATATAATGAATAACAAATCAATTTGCAATTAACTATCATTTCAAATTTTTAATTAGGACAGAACACATTTTGAAATCATAGTTGATGAGTTGTATATATACAAGCACTTTGGAATTCGGCCTTGGCATAATGGCATGAGTGGTTGGACACAAACCAAGTGGTCAGCTCTAGTCCAATATAGTCAGAAACTTGGGAGCCATGTTATCTCATTTGTGGGAATTAAGTATATATAATTGTACTAGGAGATCTTAAACTGATTTTAAGAGATAATTTTTCTTATTTTTGGAGATTGCTTTTATTATGTTTTATATGACCAACATGTAATTAATACCTTTGATGTGGGGATTTCATTTTTAATGTCCAGTCAAGTTCTTAATTAATGGTTGTTTGAGTTATATAAAAACCACTTGTGGGGAGTGCATAATCGTTTTCACTCTATGCAATAACAATACTCCATGTCTCCATCCGTTTTTCTATAGTGACTATTATACTTATATATGTTGCTTTATCTTTTCTAGTGATGATTAAACATTTTGGTTAGGTTGCATCTCTGTATCTACATAATGTTGCTTTATTGGCTACGTACAATAGTGACTACTTGTTTCTTGTTTATTCTATCTCAATTCTTGAAGTTGTATCTCTATCTTTGACATATTGCTTTATCAAAAGGGTGATCAAGAAAATCTAAGTGAGAAATGCCACATTATTATAATAATGTAATTATAATAATGAAATGACTAATTATTCTCTTAATTACCAATTACACATAAATGCTCATTATTTTCCTAATTACATATATAAGGTAATATACATTATTATTCTTGCTACAGGATCATTGCTAATTAATGGTGTATCACTCACCAAGACTATGTGGTTTAATGGTACCCAGGTTGGACTTTCATTTGGAAGGTTGTAAGTTTGAGCTTTAGTGGAGGCATTATTGGTTCTTTGTGTCTCAGTACGTTGAGAAAGTATGCCAATAGCATTACAAAAAAAATGGGCATTACAAAAAAAATGGTGTATCACTTGTTGCATCAGGTACAAGGCTCGACTGAACCCAAAATTCATGGTGCCTTGCAATGTGTTCTCTTGGATATAAATTGAGTTTTTTATGAGGTAGATTTCTTCTGTAGGACAAATTATATTTTGAATTTTCAAAGGGATGCTGTCAAAAATGAAATAAAAACAAAAAATAAAAGGGAAAATGACACTTTTTCTCCTGAGTTATATACTTATAACACTTTTTCCCCTTCAATTATTTAGGTAAGCACATTAGCCCCCTCAATTATTTAAAAAGTGGTGCCTTTTCCCCCCTGATATATTAAATTGACATTTCTACCCTTAAAGTAAACATTTTATTTATTTTCCTTTCTCCAACAAATTATTGCGTATACGTAGGGATGACCACGGTTCGGTTTGAACTGAACCGGACACTAAAACAATCGAATTAAAAGTTTCCGGATATGATTCAGATCTAGAACCCAATATTTAGATGTCAATTTATTAAAATTATGTATCAAAAAAATTGAATCTTGAACCGTGAACCGGCGGTTCCGGATCCGGTTCGCGATTTTGAACCGTCTTTATTTTACAATTTTATTTTTTATTTTAAAATAGTCTAAATTCAACAATAAATGTATTTTATTTTTTCAGTTCGGAACATGAACCGTCCGTTCCGGTTCACGATTTTAATAAACTCTAAATATTGAGTTTCGATTCTAAATTGTAATTGGAATATTTAAGTTTGGTTGCTATAGTGTTTGTTTGGTTTGAACCAAATTATGGTCATAATTTGTTGGAGAAAAAAAATAAATGAAATATTTATTTTAAGGGTAAATATGTCCATTTAACATTTCAGGGGGGAAAATAGCCACTTCAATAATTCAGGGGGAAAAAATGCTATAAGTATATAACTCAGGGGGAAAAATTGCCATTTTCCCAAAATAAAATATCAAAAAGATAGGAGATACTCTTACCAATAGAATCAACAAAAGAACCAATATTACGTATTGAAATTTAGTACGCAACGCAAGAAACCTTTCGAGCAGGCTTCTAGCTCCAATCCGTATTCGAGTTACAATAACTCCAAAAGTAAAAGAATATAACAAAAGAGAATTAAGAACTCTTCAATATAATTGATTTCTGCATGCCTTTAACATTACATAGAATACGTTATATATATATATATATATATATATATATATATATATATATATTAACTCACTTCTAAAATAATGTAATAATGTAATTATAATAATGAAATAACTAATTATTCTCCTAATTACCAATTACACATAAATGTTCATTATTTTTCTAATTACATATATATAAGGTAATATACATTATTCTTGCTACAGGATCATTGCCAATCAATGGTGTATCATTGTGGCAGAAGTTTGTCGATCAAATAGAAAAGTTGCGAGCTTTGTCGGCCACCCTACACTTGAAGATATATTGAAGTTTGAGGTGAAATTTTGTTTTTATATTTTTGGTCTTACGCTTTGAGACAGAAGATACTGTAAAACGCATAATGGTGCTTAAATGCAGAAGTCTTTTCATCATCATCCTTATTAGTGCTATCTAGCCTGTGTTTGCTATTATGACTTTTAGCCTGCAAATCTTGGGATATTTTCTCCTTTACAAGAAGATTTTTTGGCTCAAATTTAGAATGCTCCCAGGAAAAATTAAAACTAACAACCAGTAGTAATGAATGTACATTGTCTATGAAATGTATTAAAGGGAATAAATTTCAACAGATTTTGTAATACTCATTTAATCAAGGAAATAAATTAAAGCTACAATTATGCCCCAAATAGCTACAATTATGCCCCAAATTCCCTATTATAACTAATATTCATTGTAATAATTTTAGATATGTAATAAAGGAAACCAAATTAAATATTATAATTATTAACTCCAAATTCAATACTTTTGATCATATAAAGATATGACTATATATTAGTTTTCACTTTTTGTCTCTAACATCAGTTTATCACAATTACACAAAAACTCACAGGATCAACAATTCTAAGGGGCAGGAAGAAGCAAAAGACCACAGACAAAACTAAGAGCCAAGATTAAATCTCGAATATATAGTGTTTAAATCATTGTTTTCGTTATATATATATATATATATATATATATATATATATATATACTAGTTTTTTACGCGCATTGCGCGATTGGAATAATGTCCAATATTTTTTTAAAAAAATAAGTATTTTAAAGTATATCAATACAAGATTATATTGGAATTGTTCATGCATAAATAATTGAATGTTGAATTTCCATATTTAAATAGGTAATTCTAAGTTTACAAATGCAAAATAATATAGTCAAGATTGATTATAATTGTCAATAAAATAATTGTATATGTATTTTTGAAACCAAATATGGGACATAAGGGAGAGCAAATAAAAATTAGAGCATAAAATATTAAATATATACTAATATTGAAGAGCTAACGGCTGATTCCCAAACAAGGACATTGCGAGGTAGTTTTCCACTTCAATTTGTTGTGTGATTTGAATACTCTTTTTGTCAATAAATCTCCCAAGTAGTTAATATGATTGGTTTAATTATATTTTGTTTTTATTTTTTTAAAATAATAATAATAATAATAAGAATACTTATTATTATTATTATTAAATATATATGTATACACTTAGGTCATTTTACATGTTAATCTAAAAAGTTAATATATATATATATATATATATATATATATATATATATATATATATATATATATATATATATATATATATATAAGGGGGCGTTTGGTTCAGGTTATATAACATAACCAAGGGAATGTGACTTCTAAAGCTCAAATTCGTATATTTGGTTCATATTATCTTAGAGAATATAACATTCTCAAGGAATGTCACATTCCCTCCACATAGGATTTTGAAGGGAATGTGATTCCCTTCAATTTCTTAGGTTATGTAAGATAACCTTGGTTATGTTAGTTTATATATATATATATATATATATATATATATATATATATATATATATATATATATATATATATATATATATATTTGTAATTATATACTTTTTATTTTTATTATGTTATGTTAGCATATAAAATAATTTTGTTTCTCAAGTTCAAGATTTTAGTTAATATTCTAAAATCATGTAATTATATATGATACCGTTATCTTAATTATTTATTTTGATTTTTAAATTTATTAAAATAAATGAAAATATGTTAAGGATATTATAGTATGTGTGTATAAAAGATAACTCTAAACCAAACATGATTATATTACATACCCCAATTTTAACTAAACACGGGAATCTAATAACATTTGTAGCAATCTAATATTCCTTAAGGTAATCACACATTCCGTGAACCAAACCACCCTTAAGTGAATACATTCGTGAGAAGTGAAGACACGGTTTAAGGAATTGATAAATTAAAGAAATGGAAAATGACACTTTTTCTCCCTGAATTATATGGTTATAGCACATTTTTTTCCTGAGTTGTTCATGTAAGCACATTAGCCCCTTCAATTATTTTAAAAGTGGCGGTTTGTCCCCTAATATTAAATTGACATTTCTACCCTTAAAAGTAAACATTTTATTTATTTTTCTTCTCCAACAAATTATTATTTGTACATAAGGATGATCACAGTTTGATTTGAACTGAACCAAACACTATAGCAATCGAATTGAAAGTTTATGGTTATAATTCAGATCCAAAATCCAATATTTAAATTTCAGTTTATTAAAATTATGAATCGAAAAAATTGAATCTTGAACCGTGAACCAACATTTTCAAGTTCGGTTAGCGATTTTGAACCATATTTATTTTAAAATTTTATTTTTTATTTTTAAAATTGTCTAAATTCAACAATAAATGTATTTTATTTTTTTTTCAGTTCGGAACATGAACCGACCGTTCCGGTTCGTGATTTTAATAAACTCTAAATATCAAGTTTCAATTCTAAATTGGAATTGGAATATATATATTGAGAGTGAAGAACAGGAAACAATTGAGAGTGAAGAACAGGAAATGGAAGTATATATAGTGATCACAATAATCCGTAAAGCCGATCTTTGGATCCACGGATCATTTCATCAAAGCCACCAGGGTCTCTTAATTTAAAGTCCCAAAAGAGTTCGGTTAAATAAACACCAGGATTGTCAATGTGGTGGCTCAGGTCCTTAATCTGTTGAGAGCATCTGTCCCTCAACTCCCCTCCGAGCCAAATATAATTACAGTGGTCTAAGTTGAGAGATTGAAGGAGAGGACAAGCATCAAGGATGGCCTCCACGCCTTTATCTGTCATTCGATTTCCATCAAGTGTAAGGTGTTTCAAGCCATGCATGTTTTCTGCAATGGCAACAGCCTCCTCATCAGATGATCCGTTTAGGAATCCACTTACCTTCTTGATAAAGGAAAATGAGTTGAGGAAAGGGCAAGACTGTCCAGCAGCTTCAATTCCTTGTTTAGAAATATTGGGAGTGTATTCAAGTTGTAGCTCCTCCAACACTGGAAACTCATTAACAGCTTTTCTAAAACCTTCATCAGAAACATGGCTGCAGGACCTAATACCAAGATGCCTCAGCTGTTTTGCTCTGTATATCAACAACAAAAGTACGTACATACATACTAAGATTAAGGATCACATACAGAAAGAGCTAGCATGGGATATATTAAAAGAAAACAAGAAACATATAATTGGAGGCTATGAACCAGGAATCCAGGATTTATTCGCAAATTCTCACCTAAGGAAATTAAAATACATATAAATTTGTTACCCTAAAATATAAAACACACATATATATATATATATATATATATACCTCTGAGCAATGTAGAAGACCAGATCATCAGTAGCAAAATCCGCTAATTTGATGGAAATAAGTTGCCCATCACTACGATTCACTACTTCTCTGCAAATTTTATCCCAGTCCCGTTCTTTAGACGGCTCAGCTTCTAGATTCCCCAAGTCCACATAGCGCCACATGGAGGGGTCTTTCCATAGCCTCCACCACGCAGTACACACCTGTGCGCTCTGGAAACGATCCTCCACACTCAGCCTTTGCAGAATGTTTGCCGTTAACTTCCGCGGAAGTTGCACCCACGACGCTGCTGGATTTTCCATTGTCTGTATTGGTCACTGGTGTGGTGTTAAGGGAGGATCGATTATCTATATATACTACCACCTAAAGAAATTGTTTTCTCTCAAAAGAGCTGAGTAGTCGTAGTCTCCAAGAATTTTCGTTTATCGTAGTATTAAGACCAATGAAATGAAATGTATAAACGCCAACTCCCCAAGTTTTTGCTGAGGCCCAAGGTAAAGGAGAACAAAAAAAGGATAAAGTATAAATAAATTATGAAGTATTTGAAAAATAGTAATTAAGTCATTTCAACTATTTAAAACCTTTATCTTTATCTTTATCTTTATATTCTTTTTCTTTTTCTTTATCTTTATCTTTAGCTTTATCTTTATCTTTAGCTTTATCTTTTTATTTTCTTTATCTTTATATCTTTATCTTTACTAGTATTTTCACCAGTGCGATGCACGGAATGGAATTGTTGTTATATATTAAAAATATTTAAATCGATATATAATTATTTAAGAGTTAATTTCACTAGAGGTGGCATATCTTTTTTGACAATTCCAAATTTAATCCTAGACTATAGTTATTAATTATTACGATTTATTCTATGTTATAATTCTTACGTTAATATTCTTACTATTATTATTAACACTAAATTATTTTAAGATATTATTTTTACCACTTATATTATTATTATTGTTATTATTATTATTATTATTATTATTATTATTATTATTATTATTATTATTAGTTTCTTTTCAAGTTTTGTTAGTATATATAATGGCAGTGAGGCAAACAATAACAATATAACCATAATTAAATATTCTTGTATTGTATTTCGTGAGTCACAATAATAATATAACAATAATTAAATATTCTACAATTCTATATTCTTCTAAAATTTCTATTACCATCATTAATTATTCCCTAATTTATCAAAATTAAATAATTTGACCAATTATAAAGAGAGATTATTAAATAACGCACGGGATAATTTTTTAATTAAAAAAATTTAAAAATTAATTAATAAAACATAAGTTTCTCATAGTTTTTTCTTAGAAACTATTTAATAAAGAATTATTTTTTATAGAAATTGGTGAGCCAAACCACCTACGGCAGTTTGCGGTGCATAGATCTCGAAAAAATACGCGATTTCAAAAAAACATTTGTCCAAAACGGACAACTGAGTCAAAAGTTATGCCTTGCCGAACTTTTGACACTTCACAACTTTAACCCAGAAGTGTTGTACGAATGGGAAAGTAGAAATCAATATATTTTATTGGGAAGAGAGATTTTTTAGGAATTGGGCGTGAAGTTAAAATTTCAGGATTTTATTTTTATATATAGTATAGATGTGCAAAGGGAATTGTATTACACTATTTTATAATTTTAGAATAGAATTTTTACCTAGAATTATTGTACGAATGGAAAGTAGAAATCAATATATTTTAGGGGGAAGAGAGATTTTTTAGGAATTGAGCGGGAAGTTAAAATTTCAGGATTTTGTTTTTATATATAGGCTCTGTTTGGCAAACCTAGCTGAAAAGCTATAAGCTTGGAGCTGATAGCTGAAAAGGAGCTGATAGCTGAAAAGGAGCTGAAAGCTATAAGCTCGAAGCTGAAAATTGAAGAGCTGTTATGATTGAAAGTGTTTGGTGAAATTAGCTTTTTGATAAGCTGATAAATGTAAAAAGACTAAAAAGGACATCTTCATAAAATTTAAATTAGTTTGTTTACATATTAAAATTTAACATTTCATCTTCCAAAAAAAGTAAACACTTTTTAAAATAAAACTATTAGCATGATCATGATCTAGCTTCCCATAATGAAGTAGCAATATTGTTGCGAACCTCCTTCATCTCCATAGAGGTGTGACTTAAATTTTCGTTGATGGAGATATTACTACTTGAATCTTGAAGTTCATCGGGCGGTATGTAATCTGGATGCTGCTCAAGCACATTAAACATCATGTCATCTTGTGAATTTTTCCGAATATAATTATGTAGTGCAAATGTGGCCATAATAACATCAATTTGGGTCTCCTCACTAAACTGCGACATTTTAGCAAGTATCTTCCCTCTCTTATTCAATATTGCAAACGATCTCTCAATACAACTTCGAAGAGAAGAAGGTGCACGATTAAATGCTTCTTGAGCATTAGTTGGCTGCTCTTGTTCAAATTGGGATTGAAGCCATATTGCTAATTTAAAAATAACATTAATAATAATAGTAGTAGTAATAATAATAATAATAATAATAATAATAATAATAATAATAATAATAATAATAATAATAATAATAATAATAATAATAATAATAATAATAAATGTCATAAGGGTTTAATTCATAAGGTTAAAATATGGCATTACTTTAAAATAATAAGGGTAAAGATGAAAAAAAAGTTAGGAAGCTAGTAGCTTATTTTGAAACGCTACCTAAAGTAGCGTTCCAAAATAAGCTCTTATTTTAAGCTAGGAGCTTATTTTGGGAACATTACCAAACAGAGCTTATAGCTTATGAGTAGCTTAAAATAAGCTATAAGCTCCTAGCTTAGCGTTGCCAAACAGAGCCATAGTATAGCTAGATAGATGTGCAAAGGGAATTGTATTACACTATTTTATAATTTTAGAATAGAATTTTTATCCAGAATTATTGTACGAATGGGAAAGTAGAAATCAATATATTTTATTGGGAAGAGAGATTTTTTAGGAATTGGAGCGGGCAGTTAAAATTTCAGGATTTTGTTATTATATATAGTATAGATTATTATTATTATTATTATTATTATTATTATTATTATTATTATTATTATTATTATTATTATTATTATTAGTTTCTTTTCAAGTTTTGTTAGTATATATAATGGCCGTGAGGCAAACAATAACAATATAACCATAATTAAATATTCTTGTATTGTATTTCGTGAATCACAATAATAATATAACAATAATGAAATATTCTACAATTCTATATTCTTCTAGGATTTCTATTACCATCATTAATTATTCCCTAATTTACCAAAATTAAATAATTTGACCAATTATAAAGAGAGATTATTAAATAACGCACGGGATAATTTTTTAATTAAAAAAATTTAAAAATTAATTAATAAAACATAAGTTTCTCATAGTTTTTTCTTAGAAACTATTTAATAAAGAATTATTTTTTATAGAAATTGGTGAGCCAAACCACCTACGGCAGTTTGCGGTGCATAGATCTCGAAAAAATACGCGATTTCAAAAAAACATTTGTCCAAAACGGACAACTGAGTCAAAAGTTATGCCTTGCCGAACTTTTGACACTTCACAACTTTAACCCAGAATTGTTGTACGAATGAGAAAATAGAAATCAATATATATTATTGGGAAGAGAGATTTTTTAGGAATTGGGCGGGAAGTTAAAATTTCAAGATTTTATTTTTATATATAGTATAGATGTGCAAAGGGAATAGTATTACACTATTTTATAATTTTAGAATAGAATTTTTACCTAGAATTATTGTACGAATGAGAAAGTAGAAATCAATATATTTTATGGGGAAGAGAGATTTTTTAGGAATTGAGCGAGAAGTTAAAATTTCAGGATTTTGTTTTTATATATAGACATATAGTATAGATAGATGTGCAAAGGAAATTGTATTACACTATTTTATAATTTTAGAATAGAATTTTTATCCAGAATTATTGTACGAATGGGAAAGTAGAAATCAATATATTTTATTGGGAAGAGAGATGTTTTAGGAATTGGGGCGGGAAGTTTTTTTTTTTGAAAACAACATAAACGGTTTATATTAGAGATATGCTGAAATAGCGTCAGGTGGGATATCATCCCAGTACATAACAGTAGAGTAATCGAAAGCTAAAGATGTTAAAGTATGAGCTACTAAATTATCTGATCTAGGTACGAAGCTAATAAAGCAGTAATCAAACGAAGTAATAATAGACTTGCAACTATCTATGGCATAGCTAACATAAGAGCGAACTGGTCCACTATTGGACGATAAATAATTCTTTAGGGTCAGGCAATCTGTGTAGAGGTGTACACCCCGTTGCCCACGATCCCTGAGCCATGACAGAACCTCCTTGAACGCATAGGCTTCTGCCATTAAAGGCGAGAAACAGTCCGGCAAAGTGGTACAAAGAGCTGTAACATAACTTCCATTCTCTTCGCGTAACACCGCCCCAGCCGAGGCCTTGTTCGTTGTGGGGTGATACGCCGCATCGAGTGGCATGCCCGGATCCCCGTTGGCGCGCTATTGGCGGGATCGACATGCAGCGGCAGCGGCACTCCGGAATTGGGAAGGTGTGCGGCAGCTTGTGTAGTTCCAGCTTGGTGGACAAGTTGCCATGAGTGAATAGCATTCCTGGCCGCTATTACTAGCTTCCTTGGAGTGGGTAGATAGGCATCCCAAACTGCTCCATTCCTGGCCCTGCAGATATAGTATAGAATCGCTGTCGTGAACATAATTCCATCAATATCTAGAATACTCATCACTTCATCAAACCAAGAAT